TCCAATAAAAAATATAACATTCAAACTTGATTTTGGTTTCGGGTTAAATTAACCTATCTTATTCGTTCACCAAAACTAACAAGTTTGATGTTTATGTCTCTTTCTAACTTTCTTAATTTGTTTCGGAATTCAGATTACCTATCAAATGCCTTATTTTCAAACCTTTTTAATTATGTTGATGGAGTGTAGTTGTAGTAATAAATCGCCGAAAACATCTTAAACCTTATTTTTTGTCTGGAATAGGCTGAGAAAATGTGCCTAAATCTCTTTTATATGCTTTTTCTTTGTCTCTCTCTCTCTCTCTTTTTCTTTTGAGGGCTTTATTTCTTTTTTGAAATAGGAGCAGGACATTCATTAATTGAAATCTTAAATGCGAAAAATAAATCCTTGAATGGACCACCTAATCTTTTAGCTGGAATGCAGTTGGGGGTGGTTAAGGCAATGGGTTCTGTGGGGCCCAAACATCTAAGCAATGCCGTGTTACTAAGATATTCATCCTTATCTATAAGTTTTTTCCTAATGTGATTTACTCCAACGTAAAATATAGGTCAAGAATATTATTCCTTTTTTTTTTTTTTTTTTTTTTTTTTTTTTTGCCTTTTTGGGGTTTTTTGCTGGGGTTTTTTTTTTTCTTTGCTTTTCAATTACAATGAAGAAGAAAATTACTCAGTGCTCGCAAAATCAGAGGCGTTGTTCATTTAATGCTTTCATAAGAACATATATTGCAATTACAAAAGGTTGGTTTAGACCTTAAACAAAAATTGAATTTCTTATCAAGTCCAAAAATGTTTAATTAAAGAAGATGGAAATCCATAACCACTATACAGACAAAAAAACAATAAAAACATCACTAACCTATGAGACTAATGACGATTTGCCATGGAGAAATGAGAAAGCAATACGTTTCATTGCAAATCTTACCAACAAAAGTTTAAAAAAAAAAAAAAAAAAAAAAAAAAAAAAAATAAAAAAAAAAAACATCTTCAATCTCCGTCCTGTAAATACTAATTCTAAATACTAACCAAACAAATAAACCAATAATACTTCCAGCTATAACGCCAAGAAAATAAAGGTCAATTTTAAAGTATTTTTGAACATGTTTTGCTTGGAAACACAATTTTGCAGATATGTAAGCTAACAAACTTCAGATGCACATCAAAAATGAAGTGTTTAATTAAACATCATTCTTTTAAAACTACCATTTTTTATATTTCCATTTTTCTTAACTGATTAATTGGAGGAAAGCTTTTATAGTGCAAAAAGGACTGAGAGCTACCTTGCACATGGACATAAAATCATGGTCGGACGCGCGGTCTCCGATGCCGATATCCGGCGATTCGTCACCGAACTCCTTGAGAAGAGCCAGCCTCTTCCATTTACCGACCAACACGCCGGGTTTCTTCACAAATCCGGTCGCCTTCTTCGTCTTCGGGTTGACCTCAATCTCCGTCCCGATGACCTTGTCCCCGCCGAGGAAGTCTTTCACGAACGGCTCCACCATCAGCGTCGGGTTCGCCGTAACCACCACCTTTCTTCCGCATTTCTCAAACACCTCGTAGCTCTCCTTCCTCACATCCGCCGCATAAAACCTAATAAATTAAATTGTTAGTACTGCGTAAATTCTTGTGTTATTTAAAAATAAAAAATTATACCTCGGTAAAACAGCACGAGAAACGAGCTCGATGTCTCGGATCTTGAGGCCGGAGAAGGAGATGAAGATGAGGATTTGGATTCCGAGGGCTTCGGAGACGAAAAGGTAGGCGAAGATGACAATGGGGAGTGAGAGGAGGAGGAAGAAGCCGCGGAGGAGGCTGCCGGCTTCGACGGCGACGAGCATGAAGTAAGGGAAGGAGCTTCTGGAGATCAGAAGCGTGCCGTCCAGATCCGCCGCTATGGATCCGTACGACGTCGTTCCGCCGCTGCCGCACTTCGTGATCGGTGGGAAGTTTCGGCTGGTTTGTTTCGCCGTCGACATGTCTCGGCCAGTATGAAACGAAACGGTTTCTTCTTTCTTCTTCTTCTTCTTCTTCTACTCAATATTCCAAGAAAACAAAAGGAAAGTTAAGTTTAGTTTAGTTGAGTTATGTTGGAGGAGAGGACAGAGAGTGTGGTGCGCTGGGGAGGGAAGGGAACGTGAGGTGAGGGGTTTAAATGAGGGGGCTGACATTTTTAAAATTACGAAAATGGGTCTTCTGCTTTTTGAAAATTTATTTTTGGGATGGTAATGTAGTTGGCGGGTGTTTGGGACCAAAATGACTAAGGCCCGTTCATTTCACCGATTTGAGTTTATAACTCGAGTTTTGTTATAGTAAAAAGTTCTCAGAAACAATTACATTTAACTTTTTTGCTACAGTAAAAAGTTCTCACATAAAGTCACATCTCAACTCGAATCAACGAACTAAACGGGCCCTAATATGTTCCCGTAAATTTTTTTTTCCCTTTCTTTCCTCTTCACAAGTCATCGAAATTATTATTTAGTTTTTGTCAAAAAAAAAAAAAAGCAATATAGAGGAAAAATTGTGCGTCAATTACTTCTCATTTTCTTAAGCGTTTTAGGAATATGAAATTAGGAGTAATCCTTCTATAGAATCATATTTTTTTCAATGGACGACCGATGAATACGAACATGACCAATTAATAAGCTCATTGACTATCGTCGTATTGACACAAGAAACTCACTACTCGAAATGTTGTGTATATTTTTAGAGAAAAATGGCAGGAATATCAATGTGTAATTGGTATATAACATGCATGACTAGGACTCTAGTAGTCTTTTCTTCTAGCTCAAATGATTAGGTATGTGCGTATGTAGTTGTGTAATATGTCTATTAGGGTTCAAATTTTGATAAATTCATTTTTTATTAAGAAAAAGAAAGTTTTAGGTCATTGAGATTTCATGAGACTCCTATGAACCTAAAATTACACCCTATTAAGAAAGAAAAAGGCATAATTATTAGATTATTGCAATCTGTCAATTGTCTCTTTAGATACAATATAGATGATTGGTGAACGTGCACTACGAACACTAGTAAAAATATGAGATTTAACAACGGTTAATAATCGTCGTTAAAAGATTAGATGACGGTTAGGAGAATTGTCGTCTAATCGATAGTCGTTAAATTGTTGTATGATTTAACGACGGTTTTTATTCGTCGTTAAATAGAACATTAGACGATAGTTTATATACAAAATCGTCGTTTAAGATCTTCTCAAAATAATAATTTTAGCGGTTAGGTTTCACATTTAACAACGGTTTCTGAAGAAACCGTCGTTAAAAATAATATATATAACAACAGTTTTAGTTAAAAACCGTCGTTATATCTACCTTATACACCAAAAAAAATTATTGTTGTTTTATTACTTTTCTCACGGGTTGGCCTATTAATCCTGTGATTTATCAGCGCTTTGGCCACACAATTAATACAAGTCACAAAACATAAACAAATTAATATTATATATATTCAAATAAAAATGTATACATAAATTAAGTTATATGTCCCTTTACAATATATTATATGTACCTTTACAATATATGTCCCTTTACAAAATGTACCCATTTATTTATCACTTCTACCAAATGATCATTAGTATATGCCTCTATGTTTTTTAAATAATTAATACCGACTCTCATTATATCTTGCATATACCGTAAGACGAAGAACCCGTATTCTTTGTTCCCCTATTGGGTCGGAATTTTCTGATAATGAATGAAAAATTTTGGTACATGAAAAATTGTATATTCCTTAAATTCGAGTAATTCAATGAACAAAATTATGAACACTTACCTTTGGGATGAGAAATTTTGTGAACCCATCCGAATGGCTACAAACTCAAGCATTGTTTGTGCCTTCCAACCACGTAATGCACTAATATATGATAAAAAAAATCAATTAATTAGGAAAGAAAATAATATAAATTCATAGTTTGAAAGTTATAAAGAATGCTAAACTTATAGGGCAATCATTCTTCTGAAATCTACGCGTACTTTCACCGCAAGGGGATCCAAGCACACGACCTTATCTTGTGTGGTAGATATCACGGCCAACATCTAATGTCCTCCTCCATTGTGTGGCACGAAGAAAATGCGTCAGACACCCGATTGTAACAAAAATGTACAAATGGCGTTTGCCCGCAGCTCTATATCCAGCTCCGCTTGGCCTGGAACTTAACCCCAACATCCTAGGACATTCTCCTGATTGCACACATGCCACAAGTGACTACATGAAAAATGAAGAAGTTAGTTATACATTTAATAATAAATAATAATTTATTGTGAAAAAGTAAAAAGGATAGTTATATTACCACATGTACGCCATGTTACACATAAGACTAAGTTCTTGATAGGTGGCCATCTATTCGATATCATCGGTTGTAATGAAGATCTGCATAGTAGCACCTGAGTCGTATTGAATGGAAGGGGAATCTGAATTGTTACACTGATGCCCATCGATTGTCACACATGAATCATTAAGTCTTGTATTTCTATGGGCAACCTTTGTAATTGCTCCGGCAGTGGTTGTGTTACTTCCCCATCTCTGGCAAGTGCTTGTGTATTTTTCCACTTCTTTTGTTTCCCAGCTTTTTTCTTCGCCGGCTCCGGAAAATTTTCCAAGGGTTCTTTTCTGGTCGGAGCTTTGCTAACTTTACTCAAGGACCCTTGTTTAATCAAATTCCTGGGCCAGGCAACAAATCCTCTAAGATCATCACCCACAGTCGTGCTATCAAATGTAGGGATAGGCAAAGGCGCGTCTCTCACATAAGTCGACTGAATAGAGATGCGTACATTTCCCTCCCCAAGTACGACACCGTGGCCAACATCGGTAGGGTGACTATCCAACCACGCCATCCCCATCGCAACAACAATAAAATTGTTCTTCCCCTCTGTTGGAGCCAGAAGAATGCACTTACTACCATCACCAAGGCCTGATGAAGGGGGATCTACCAGTGGCGTAGCATTACAGAGAGTACAACTCTCCTTAACACTACGTCGTTGATCCACCGTAAGAGTTACCATTCCCTCTCCTACAGGTGCTAGGCTATGGCCTTAGGATGATTGCATTGCTTCCCATCTAGCCTTCATTATTTCCACTCTCTTATGCAGCATTGTCAACTCCTCGTCCCTTATTGATCTGCCAGTGGAATGAAAATAAGTCGACTTTTTGACAAATTAAGATTGCCCACGAACACGGCCTAAGTGTTTTGGGTTTCCCAATGATCTAGTAAGCACATCATCAGTCCCATGAGTTTGAAACTTTTCCTGGGGCTCTTCTTCGGCATATTGATCCTACAAAATTTAGAACAAAAATATTATAAATTTCTTGGCATATTTCCCATTGATTGAACAAATATTAAAAAGAAAACCAATAACTCACAATTAATTTGTCGATCTCTTCACATTCCAGAATTTTACAAGTTCTGTCCAATTTTTTGCGTATGAACTTCCATAAAGTGGTTTGATCTGACTTTTTCGTAGTGTTATGCATTCGCATCTGCATTCAATTAAAAAGTATATTAAAGATTGTAATACAAACAAAAAGTAATTAATATTATTGAAAAAAAGTAATTGAAGACTTACATAATTTTCCTCTCCTTTCCTATATCCCCCACGAGCATTCCCATGCAGGTACTTGTTCGATCCTCTTCTCTTAGATGCTTCTTCAAAAATGGCTTGTCGATCGTCACTAAATCTATACTCTATAAACTTCCTCCTTGCTCCGGAATAATTGAAGGATAGTTTCTAGCCACTTTCTTTGCGAGTTCAAAGACTTGGGGACTATCCTTTAACAGCTTTACAAAGGTTGTGAATAGGTTTGACCTAAAGTCCTGAGCCATTTTCGCCGCATAAGTAAGCTCATATTTTTTGCGGTCTCTGGAACCTTAAAACTTTGAACCAAATCATGCCAAATTCAATTCACGTTATCTTTATTTTCTTTATGTCTCCAATCTTCTATTGTTATTGGCACGTGTTCACGTGTCAAAATACTGACATAACTTTGTAGTTCATTCTCCGCTTTTCCAATGGGGTTATTTTTTTTTTTTATCAAATTGCACTATTATTCTTTCTCCTTTATCTCTCATTTTGACAACTCTACACATTATGGTTGCCCTTTGTTTCCCATCATCATATTGTTCTTTTCCTAAGTTCATATTGATTTGCCCCATCAGAAGTGCCTTCCTCCCCAAATAACTCTCGTGTGGTATTAAGTTCTTCCTCGAACTAATCACGGCCGCCATGTTTCTAAGAATCAACATATAATCAACAAATATAGATTTAGTTTCATTCTTAATCCTAAACTAAATAACTTAAAACTAACCTAATCAACATTGAATAAACCTAACCTAATCAATATATACAAAAAATGTACTAAATAACTTAAATTTATATTTAGTTTCATTCTTAATCCTAACCTAACTAACTTAAACTTCTTAAATCATATACAATAAATATTCACATTTACATTTAAATAATATTAGAAATGCAATTAATTAGTTCTAATCCTATCAATCATATAATATTTAAAAAAAAAAACTGTCGTCTAATAGTCTAACCTAATTTAAAATGACTGTCGTCTAATCTATAGTTATAAATGTCAAATCCAAAAAATAGTATAACTTAAACTGAACAAAATGAAGATAGAGACGGTCGCTGGCAGTTCAGCGACGAGATGACGGCTGCTGACGGACGCTTGGCGGTTTGGTGAACACCAAGCGGCTTGGAGCATACGACAGCAAGAGACGGAGTGAGAGACAGAGCGAGAGTCAGAAAGAGAGACGGAGAGAGAGAATGGCGGTGGCGGCGTCTAGAGAGACAGAGAAAGAGAATGACAATGGCGGCGTCAAGAGAGACGGAGAGAGAGAGAGAGAGATTTTGGGCGGTGGGTGGCGGCGATATAGTTCACAGGAAGAAAAAGAGAGATTGACGAAGGTTTTGAGTTGGGTTTCTCTCGAAATGAAGACAAGTCTGAGGTTAAATTTTATTTTTTGATTTCCGCGCTCACATTAGACGGCGGTTTTACAAGAAACCGTCGTCTAATATTTTACCAGTTGGTCCGCGTTTTGGGCCAGCACATTAGATGACGGTTTCTTGTAAAACCGTCATCTAATTAGAGATGTTAAATGTCAAGTTTTTATAGTGGAAGCTA